GAACAAGAGTACTGCATATCCCATGGACTGCCAGAAGAACAGATATACTTTTGATTTTGTTTTTATATATAAATTATTTTTTATTATTGATTTAATGAAAGCTTACAGAAAGATTGGGTTTTGATTCATTCACTGTTGCACATTTTCCTCATTCCTTCTTTCTTCCCCTCACTCAGTCCACCTGCAGTGCACCTCTTTTTCCAGATTGTTGTCATACATGTAATGTTTAATCACACATTCCTTTCAGACAGTTCTTCCCCTCGTCTGTTCCAATGCAATGTTCATTTTTTCACTCTTTTCTCTTCTCCACTCTCCATGAGAGTCCTATTTTATAACAATGGGATTATGCCCTTTTATGATTGAGATATTTCACTCAGCATAATGTCTTCCAGACTCATCCATATTGTGTAATGTTATACAAGCTCATTGTTTTCTAATGTTGCATAATGCAATTATTCAATTGTGTGAATATACCACATATTTTCTATCCATTCATTTGTTGATGGGCACAAACATGCATGCTTTAGAGAAAGTGCAGCAAAAGTGGTCGGTGAAGGCAAGAATGGCAAAACTTGGTCACAGATATTTGAGGCATGTTGTTTGGAAAGGCTGTTCCTTGCAGAGTGACATCATGTTTGGAAAACTGCGGGGTCTGTGAAAGAGGGGAAGATCCTCAACCAAGTGGACTGATATAGTGCTTTGGCAGTGGGTTCAAGTATATTATATCTGACAAGGATAGCACATGATAAGACAGGATTCTTACCTATTGCCCATTGGGTCCCTCCCTATGTGTCTTCCTTGACTTGTTGGCTCCTAACTACAACAACTTAAAATAGATAACAGTACCCACATTTTAAGTAAATATAGTGAACAAAATTCATGACTTGCCACTGTTGTTAGGTGCCATCATCGAGCTGGTTCTGTCTCATCATGAAAAACCCCTACCCAATGCTTTGCAGTCCTCAAATCTCTGCTGTGTTTAAGCCCCTAATCAACCTATTTTGATGAAGGTCTTCCTTTTATTGTTGTACCTTTGATTTACCAAGAATGATGTGTTTTCTCAGGAATTATGTTCCCTCCTAATTAAGTATGTGTAATAAAGTCTCACCGTCCTTATTTCTAAGGAACACTCAGGCTGCACTGCTTTCCAAATATATTTGTTCTTTTAGGAGGACACAGTATATACAATATTTTTCACTAACACCACATTTCAAAAGCATCAGTTCAATCCTTCTTATTCACTGTTCCACTTATACTTGCTTTGAAAACATTATGGTTTTGGTGAGCTATACCTTAGTGGTTAAAATTACAACCTTGCCCTTTGGTACTTTAAAGAGATCCTTGACAAGATTACATTCACTAGTGCCCAGTTTGATGATTATGGTGGGTTGAGAAGATCTGGGTTAGTGTAAAATATCATTTATTTGGAGAAAATTATGCTATATATATATATATACACACACATATATATGTATGTATCAGTATATAAAATATATATATCAATATATAAAATGTATATATCAATATATAAAATATATATGTATCTATATCTATATCATCTCTATATCTCTGTATCTATCTATATCAATCACTTGGGGGTACAGCTTCAAAGACTTTTGGGTCAATATTCTTGATGTAGTTCATGTTCTGCATCCTGGTTTAGTGGACAGTGTTTGGGATCTAAAACGTTTGGAAACTCTAAGGCATCTAAAGGAACAACAAGCGAACTGGTCACTTAACTGACTCCTCCTCATACCGAGTCTCTTCTACCTGTGGAGCTGACCATTCCCCTCCACCTCACAATCTGGCTTTTAGTTCTCCCAGAAAATCCACAACACTGGTTCCTTCACTTCCTTTGCATCTTGACTGAAAGGTCTCCTTATTTTGTAGTTTCCTTTTGTGTTATAGTGCATAAAGTATTAGGGTTCTAACCGAAAGGTTGCCAGTCTAAGCCTACCAGTTCTCCTGAGGGAGAAAGATACACGGTCTGTACCTGTTTTATTTTTTTTTCTTTCACACCATTTATTACCACATAACATGTGTGTGTGTGTGTGTGTGCGTGTGTGTGTGTGTGTACATGTATGCACATTGTGTATGCATGTTGTTTTAGGAGTGGGATCTGCTTTCCCCATCTGGAATATAAACTTCTCAAAAACAAGGTACTTTGTCTATTTTGTGTGTTGCTTTACCCCAAGCATCTAGAATAGTCCTTTGCACATACCCACTGTTATTGAGTTGGTTTGGACTCACAACGATCCTCTTCTGGGTTCCCAAGTTGCAACTATTTACAAGAAAAGACTACCAGTCTTTCCCCAAGGGAGCAACTGGTGGATTTGAACCACTGACTTCTTTCTGTCTTAAACGCCCAACTCGCTGCCAGGGGCCTCCTTCCCTGCACATGGTAGGTGTCCATAAAGAAGTGTTAGATAGATAAGTTTAGGGAGCATACTGTGTTTAAAAAAAAAGAAAGAAAATTAAAGTGTTCTGAAGCCCTTTGAATGTTTTCTTACAGGAGTTGAGGAAATTTTTACTCCAAGGATTTAGGGAGCTCTGGTGGTGTAGTTCATAGCCAATTGTGCTGCTGCTATCCTAAGAGCTGCATGTTTCCTGTGGTTCAAATCCACCAACTGCTGCACAGCCTCTGAAACCCATTTCAAGGTCCCTATAAATTGGAAGTAACTTGACTACAATGAGTTTGAAGGTTTTGACTAGTATTTACAACTACTTCTGTTTAAAGTGTAAGAATTAAGCAGATGTGCAGTGGATACCTGGAGGAAAAAGGTGTCATTTAATTTACTTTCCTGAAACAGTAATAGAATATTTTAGCATTTTATCAAAGAGAAAACTGTTTCTGTCATGTTTTCTAACAGGAAAGTATCTTTCATTGACTTTACTTACTTGTGATGATTTAGGCGAGCGGAGGAAGAGAGGGTTGTGTAATGTTAACTAGGAAAAAATGTATGTATATTTGAAAGGATTAATTGAAGATGTCAGACCTTTTCCTTTGAGGATAAATTCTTTCTGACTAGAACAGGAGACAGTTAAGTTCTGAAAAGCATCAAGACTGATGATTTTGTCTATATAGAATTGACCTGGAAGCTCAACCATTCAGACTAATAAATCAGGCAATTTATATTTAATCATTAACTAACTCCTGAGCTGAGCAGCTGTTCAAAATTAGAAATGGGTCACCCCGGCCAGGATGACATTACAGGCAATCTATAATGCATTAGAATAAAATTATAGTGATTTTTAACTGTCTAGAAATTTATTACAGGACATGTTCCAACTCTTAAACCCTTGTTAGCCAATGTCAGTAGTGATTTATGTTGCATGGGTGGTATAGTGAAATTATCGACGACTTCAATAGTCTATGTTTAGTAAATCTGCAAGTTCCAAAGCTGTTTTGGAGAACGAGGTGGGTGCACTTTATTGTTTATCATTCACCAACCAAAGACAACAAAGATGGAAGGTAGGAAAACGAGAGATTTCTCTTGAAAATTAATGGGCACGTTACCTATGAATGAGGAAAGAAACTAATGAATTCTCTAGGAGGACCAGAGCTCCCGTAGTTCCTTCATGTTAATTATATTGCTAACTTGGAGTGATCTTTGACAAAGCAAAGCAAGGAGGTTTACCTTTAAAATGGCTTGACCAAACATTTTTTACTTGCTAATTATGTGTCCTTAGAGTTTTGAGTATTATGAAAGCTAGCAGAGAAGTTGCATTAAAACTGAGTCTTAGGTGCCATTTTTTGGTTTTGGTAGGCTTTCTCTTCTTTCGTGGGAAAAACCAAATTTTATTGTATTGTCTTCTGCTTGTTTTCACAAACTGTGGATGGTTTTTCAAGTTATTTTGTATTTTCTGAGAATATTAAGCATTATATTATGGAAGTTAATATAACATTGTAGCTTATATATTATGTGCTAGATTCTAGAAGTTAATATTGTATTAATAGTGGCATGCATATGAAATAAAGTAAAAGTGATTGTCTTGAAATATAGTCAGTCCACAGGGAGTTGTGCTTTATTCAAAGTCTATATTAAAGGTTCTACTTATTTAACTTGTAAATCAGATTATAAATATTTATCCAACAGAATATAAGGATCTGAACAACATTAACCATATTAGAACTAGTGAAGACCTCCCAATTTGAACTTTTCACATAAACATAGCTTCCTTAATAGTAACCTGCTTTAATGGACTATTCACATTATTATTTAGTTAGTAGAATTCAGGATGGATGATAAGTTGTTTGAGTAAGTAACATGACTGGTTGGTAATTACGTGCTTGTAGTTTTCTTAACCAATATGGTTTTGTTAGTGTGAGTGTGTGTGTGTGTGTGTGTCTTAAGTTTGCCTAGTACTGTGAAGTACCATTACTGAAATGTGGGGTAAATGGGGATCAGCCAAACTGTCCTGAAAAGTCGTAACAACCCTAGTCTTGTCCAGAGCTCTTGGTCTTTTACTCACAAAAGGATGTGGGGAGTGTCTGTTACCATTTCAAGAAGTACCTCAATCATAATTATAGAGTTAGAGCATCCATTGAGAGGGAAATGTTAAAGAACCAATGTCACATTGTAGTAAATTCCAGTGCAGACTGTATAAGAGCTCCATTCATAATGATGGGTTTCAAACACACACAAAAATGTTCATAGTCATGCCAACCAACTTCATTTTGTTCCTTCTGAAGACTGCACAGAAGGGCATAGACTGTGCTATAAGGTAAATTGCATTAAGCATATGTTGGGTTGAATGTTACCCTTCAATTACACGTGAGTAATTATCTTTCAGTCAGAAAAGATTCGCTGGAGCCAGTCTATTGAATCCTTTGAGACCCAAGAGAAGACGCTCTGTGGAGATGTTCTCCTCACAGCAGCTTTTGTGTCTTACGTTGGATCATTCACAAAACAGTATCGCGAGGAACTAGTAAACTGCAAGTGGATTCCCTTTCTTCAGCAAAAGGTAAGCCCTACTCTTGATCTTGTCCTAATTTGAAAGTGTTATGTTGACATTGCAGTAATAAAAGCAACATGTTTATATGTCTGTTAGGAAAATAATTTGAAAATTCTTATGCCCATACAATCTTAGAGTGTTAAATAATTTTTCTTTTAATAATGGTTGCAACAAGGAGATGAGAAAGAAGAAAATTATAGAAATTGTATTTTTTTCAGTTAACTACAAATACTCTATAATCTTAACATTTATGTAAACACATAATTTTGTATAGTTATTAAATATATAAATTATATGTATGTAATGCTTAAATTAATGATAAACTTGAGTTAGAAAGTGGCTTTAAACAAAACTAATATCAAATTAGAACTATTACTTTTTATTGCATAGCATGAAACTTTATTTTTTTATGACTATTATAGGTGTTCTTTGAAAGGGTTATTTTCAAAATTACTTTTAGAATTACAGTGCAGTAGCTTGTATATAAATATTAATATAATTTTCCATAAATTTGAAAATTTAAATTGACAAGCAAAATTAAGGAATTTAATTAGACCAAGTTTCTTCTTGAAGATGTGAGAAAACTGCGACATGGGAAATTTGGGGCATTGAATAGCCCCCGTAGGAGCTTATAATACCAGTATTTTCTCTCTGCAGGTTTCCTCTCTCTTTTTCAAAAATTTATTTCCATACAGTAATTCATATACATTGTGTTTCATACATGTACACCTTGCTTTATAGAAACTTCCATTTACATTATGTTTTTACAATCATTCATATACATTGTATTTCATATAATTGCCATTGATCTATGCCTATTATTACCTCATCTCATTAAATCTTTCCCCTTTCTTCTCTCTACCCTCATCCACCCACCAAACTCTGCTATCCTAGCCATTTCCGCTCCTTCCCCTTTACACCCCTTTTTACCTTTTCCTTTTGGACATTTATTACACATCCTCTTGTTTTTACAATAACTGTCTTATGCAGTATTTGTCCTTATGAGACTGAGTTTTTTCACTCAGCATACTGTTCTCTGGGTTCTTCCATGTTATACAGTATTTTGTGAAATTGTTACTCCTTAGTGGTTCATAGCGTTCTGTTGTATGACAGTACCACAATTCTTCAGTCTGTTTTTTTGTTGATGGGCATTTGAGCTGTTTCCATTTTCTTGCTATTGTGAATAGTGCTGCTATGAACATAGGTGTACCTATCTCTGTTCAAGTCTCAGTTCTGATTTCCTTGTGATATATTCCTAACAGCAGAATAACTGGGTTGTATGGGATTTCTAGGTTGAACTTTTTGAGGAAATGCCAAAATGCCTTCGGGAGTGGTACCATTTTACAATTCCACCAGCAGTGCTTGAGAGTTCTAATCCCTCCATATCTTCTCCAACATTTATTGCTTGCCTTCCTGTTAAACTTTGCTATGCTTTGAATGTTTTTAAATTAGAAACTTGCCTTCTCAAATTTAGCTTTACTATTGATGGTTGATGGTTACTTCCCTGAGTTGAATTTGAATCATGGGGACTTCCTCTATGTGTGGTAGAACTGCTCTGAGGGATTTTCAAGCTTGTGACCTTCCAAAGATCCAATACAGGCCTTTCTTCCGACGTATCTTGAATTGCCAAACTTTGACTAGCATTTGAGTTCTTAACTATATGTGCCATCCAGTCACCCACAACCATAATGACCCTAATAAAATAGCTTTGAACCTTGCTCTATCCTGAGCCAGTCTCATGGTCTCCAACACACCTACCCCCCGTTATCCCAGTTACTGTGTAAACCCATCTCATCTGTGTCTTCCTCTCCCAAGTTGTCCCTCCACCCTTCCAAGCATGATATCCTTCTCCTGGAACCCATCCCTCCTGGCCATATGTCCAAAGTATGTGAGACAGAGCTTCCAATCCTTGCCTCCAAGGAGAAACTTGGTTTCACCCTCTCTAGGACAAAACTGTTTGCTCTCTTGGCCATCCAAGAATGTTTAACACTCTTCTCCAGCACCACAAACTCAAAGGCATTGATCCTTCTTCTGTCATCTTCAGTCATTATCCAGCTCTCTGATACATCGCAAGTAATTGCAAAGACCATGTGTGAATCAGGCATCCCTTAGTCTCCTGACTGATATCATTGCTCTTCAGCACTTTTGAGATGTTCCTGATAGCAGCCTTACCCAGAACAATTCACCTTTTTATTTCTTGACTGCTTGTGCCAAGAATGTTGATTGTAGGGGCAAGCTAGCTGAAACTGTTAAAAATCTCAATATCTTCTCCATCTATCATGGTGCTACCAATTGACCCAGTTAGAGACTAATTATTTAAATGCTGATTTCATTAACTAAGAACTTATTAAAATTAATATCATTTTAAATTTCTGGTATAAGATTATATAGCATATAGGTTTCAGGAAAGTTTCACATCAATGTATTTGCATTTTCCCATTTATTTAAGTTCTAGTCATGGAATTCCATGAAATTCTTCCAGTCATGGAATTCCATGAAATTCTACAGGTTCCTCTTTCAAAATATATTCAAATCTGACTACATCTCACCTTTTCTAGAACCCTGGGCTAAGCCAACATCCCTGTCCTAGATTAATTTTAAAATCTCCTAAAGGTTTCCAGCTTCTTCCCCAAGTCTGTTCTCAGTATAGCATAATCCTTTCAATATGCAAATCAGATTAAGTGACTTTTCTGTCAAAATCCCTTTGATACCTCCCCAATGCACTCAGAGCAAACATCATGATTAAAAAGGCTTATAAATGCCTATGTGATGTCTCTTGATCTCAATGCATAGTATCATTTTCCTCCATATGCTGTTCAAGACACATTGACCACCTTTCTTGAATATGCAAGGGTTACTTCCACCTCAGGCCCTTTACGGGCAAGTCTCTGCCTTGAAGTGTTTTTCCTCTGTGACTTTCTCCCTCCTACCTATGAATTGTTTGTGTGAAAAGCACCTGCTCATCACTAGATAAGACTGTAAGTAACTCCCATTCTGTAGCATGTTCCATCCCCTTGAGCATTCTCTAGCTTTACACTGTTGTATTTATGTTCCCCATCTCAAAAGCACAGGATTCAAATCCACCAACTGTTCCATGGGCAAAAAATGGACAATCTCCTCTAGTACAACTTCCTTCTTCTGAAAACTTGCTAGAGGGGCAGCTATGAGTCAGTTCTGACTCATTGAAACATAACAGTAATAATAGCGTATAATTTTATATATCCATTTACTATCATCAATATCTGTTCCTAATGTCCACTAGAGAGGTCTGGTGCCCTAATGGCTTAGGTGTTGGGCTGCCATCCCACAATCAGGCAGTTCTAATTCACCAGCTGTCCAGCTGCTTCAAGGGAGGATGGGAGGATGAACAATTTCCTCTAGCACAATTTACAGTGTCTGGAAACAACCTAGATGGCCAGCTATGAGTTGATTCTGGCCCAGTGTCAAATAATAGCAACAAAAATACCCTAGAATGGAACTTAGAATGTTGTAAATATTCAGTACTAACTGCATTTATTTACATCTTTATAATAGTTTTATTGAGCAATGGGCAGTTTTCTCCTGTGTCATTTACTGCCTCTGAAAACGCACTGGATGGTCAGCTATACATGGGTTCCAACTTGGCAATACACAACCTACACGGTTCATACCTTATGCAATTTACTCATTTAAAGATGAACATTCAGTGGGCTTTAGAATAGTCGCACTGCAACCCCATGTGTATAGAATAGAATTGCTCCATAAAACTTTTGTAGCTGTGACATTTCAAAAGCAGATACATAGTCTACTGTTATTGGCTTTTTCACATACTGTAATGTTTTCATGTAGCATGCATTAATACTTCATTCCTTCCCCCTCCCCCCCAAAAAAACCACATCCTTACAACCACCATCATTGCACCAAGAAATTATTGTTTCTGTCTGTAAAGATTTGTCTGTTTTGGACTTTTCCTAGAAATTGAGTCATATGTTATGTAGTCTACTGCAATTGGTTTCTTTTACTTAGTATATTGTTTTCAAATAGCATATATTAGCATTCCATTTCCATTTTTTATGGTTTAGTAATATTCCATACATATATATGTCATATTTTATTTATCCAGTCATCAGTTTATGGGCATCAAGGCTGTTTCTACCTTTTGCCTCTTGTATGGGATACTGCAGTGAAGGTATATATTCCTGAAGTGGATCTGACTTTGAAGTCTCTTGAGTACATCCCTAAGTATATAATTAGTTCCTCAAATTATAACTCTAATTATTTGATGAACTGAAAGATTATCAATGTTATTGTTGTCATGTATCATCAAGTTGGAATCTTCTTGTAGCTGACCCTCCAACTATCAATACATGTTTTTAAAGTAAATATATGTATGCTAAACTATTCATTTAATTTTGGTGGTGATGGAATAATTATCTAAATGGGAAAAATCAGTGAGAGCTCTCCTTCATAGCTTGCTCAAAATTGTTTTGGGTGATTTAAATACTTAAATGTGAAATAAATTAGAAGGAAATATAAACAAACATAAAAGATGGACAATATAGATGAATATATATCATTATAAATGAGTTTAATGCTTTAGCAACAGCCAGATTATAAACTCTTTCTGTACAGAGAAAAGGAATTTGACCTTATTGAAAACTTATGTTGCATTGAAAGATTTTAAGCAGGTGTAATTCAAGCCGTGGAATGTTCAGTGCTTCTCTCTAACATCACAGTTCAAAGACATCAATGCTTCTTCCTTCATCCTTATTCATTGTCTAGTTTTCAGATGCTTAGTAAGTGACATTTATCATGATGTTGCCCTATTGGTCCAGTGGTAAGGATTTTTGTTTTCCTGACATTGAGATGCAATCCATAGTGAAAGCTGCAGTGCTTGACCATCTGAATATTCCATGGACTGTCAAAAGAACAAACTATGTCTTAGAGAAGGTGAACCCAGAATGCTTCTTAGAAGCAAAGATGATAAAGGTTTGTGTTACATACTTTGAGAACGTTGCTAGGAGAGGCTATTCCTTGGTGAGGGACATAATGCTTGGAAAGGTGGAGGGACAATGAAGGAGAGGAAGATTCTCAACCAGGTGGATTAACATAGTGACTATGTTAATGGACTCAAGTAAAACAGATGGTGGGAATGGCACAGGATATGACAAGGCTCTGATCCATTCTTCTTAGGGCCACTGTGAGTCATAGTCAACCCAGTAGCACCTAACGGCAACAATAACAACAACAACAATTCTGTGGAATTAAGAATGAGCAAACTCCACTTTTGTGATTTGCAGCCTTGGAAACCCAATGGTAGGTCAGGTCATTGAGTCAGATATTCTGACCCGATGGTAGTGAGGAAATAACAAAGTCCAAATTACACACTGGATAGCTGTCCTAGACCTTGGAGGAAACTGGCTTAGGAGAAGATGCTGACATGCAACCATCTATAAGGAGTTTGTTGCAGTGATTCATAACATGATAAATTAAGTGGTTACAGTGGACAAGTTGATGACAAATAAGAAGTGATTCCAGCGAAGGCAAAGGGGAAGATAAAACAGTATCGTGTACTGAGCAGGGAAGAGATAAGGAGCCAGCGGATGCAATTATAGAAAAAAAAAAAAAAAAGGGGGGGCATTCCTGGCTGTTTTAGAGGCATGGAATTTGAGAGATTGAATGTATCTGTGAAACATTCAGGTGACATTCAGTGGAGAGTGGGGTAAGAGATTTCTTGGTTGGAAAATCAGATTTGGAAGTCATCAAGGCACAAATAGTTGTTGAAACTAGAAGTGTGGATGAAATAATCTGAAAGGTTCAAGGTACAAGGAGTTAAGGCAGCACTGATTTGTGAATACAGAGTGGAGGAAGAGGAGAAGGAAGGGTCAAAGATTAGATGGCAAAAAGCCATGCAACAGTGGTGTCATGAGAGACAAGTATGAAGACTGAAATGGTTAGAAATACTAGAATCAAAGACACGATGAGTAAAGAACTAGTAGTGTCATAGATTTGAAAATGTGAAGTTTCTTGTACCACAATTAAAGCTGTTTTAGTGACATCATGAGCCAGAAGCCAAATTGCACCAGAATATACATTAGGCAGAAAGTGAGCAAGGGAAAGGGCTCAGTTGTCCTTCCAATAGCCTGTCTGTGAAAAGAGAGAGAGAAAAAGAAGTACCTGACTTTCTCTGGTGGCCTAGCATCAAGAAGCTGTGTTGCAATCCTGAAGGCACAAGGTTCGAGACCACTAGCCCCTTCATAGGAGAAGGAGGGGCAGTCTTCTCTCATGTGGTTAACCTGCTGGAGGGTTGGTTCCAACTCTACAGTACACAACAGCAATTTTAGTCATGTGGTTTATTTGTTTGTTTCAATATAAGTTACACTTGACCATGCTGCTATGCTTCAAGAGAAGAACTTGAAAAGAACATGCAACTGGGGAAAAAAAGTAAGGACTGGTGATCCTTCAGGAGCTGGGAGGGATGAAGGTCAAAGGAATGACCAGGTAGGAAAACAAGACCCATTTGACTTGGGGAGAATAAAACACAGGTTGACACAGACACAGATGTTGACAAAAAGGAAAAATATTGATTTGTTACATCTATAGTTGATCTTTCTCTTCTCCCAGAAGAGTATTAAAATGTGCTCAGTAAATATTTGTGACTGATGATTTAAGGAGTGAACAATAAAGTTCTTTTCACAATCTGCTAATGTTTGTAAATTAATTTTGTAGGGAATAATCAAATAGGTGTATTTTAATTTTCTCTTATATCATCTTCCCTCTCCTCTGACTCTGAATGGGCCTCCATTAAGTTTCTGAGGCTATAAATCTTTATGAGAGAAGACTGCCCATCTTCTTCTCAAGGAGCAGCTGGTGGATGGTGGATTTGAACCTTTCCATTAGTACCTCAGTATTTAACAGACTATACCCATGGGCTCCTTGGGTGGGGCCTACTGCCTAGAGAATGAACCTCCCTCCTCCACTCCTCGGACTTCCAGTGAACGTTGATCTCTATGTATTTACTGATTCTTGTTTCAAAATGTAGGAATATATAATATTTATCCTCTCAAATAATGTTCATAAGGTTTTTATCTACTTTGTTTTAGAAGGTTTGTTTCCTTTAGGTCCTTCTCTCTCTTCCTCATTGCCATTGAGTCTGAACTGACTCATAGATGACCTTCCAGGTGGTTGTCAGAGACTGTAAATTAAAGAGGAGATTCCCCTACTTTCTTGAAGCAGCTGATAGATTGGAGTTGCCTCTCTGGGATGACAGCACAACTCCTTACCCACTAGGCTTGATAATCCATTGTCTATATGGACGACGTTATGTTTGTGTATTCTTCCTTTGATGGTCACTTAAATTGTCTCCATTTTTTTTTCTATTTTTGTGACTAATGCTGCTATGAATATAGATGTGTATGACTATTTGTGTCTCTTCTACTAAATATCTTAGCTATAAAACTAGAAATGAAATCATAACATGGTTTTATTTCTAGTGTTTTGAGCAAGAACTGTGTGTTTTCCATAGTAGTTATACCATTGCATAATTGCACCAATAGTTGATTAAGGGTTCTGATCCTTTCACATTAGCCAATACTTTTTGTTTTCTATTTCTTCCCTTATCAGTGCCATGTTAGCAAGGTATTAGCCATCAGGAGAGCAAGAAAAGTATTATATTAGGCAAGTCCACTATCAGGGACCTCTCCAAAATACTGAAGATGTCAGTTTGAAGACGAAGGTGTGCCTGGTTCAGGCCATGGTCTTTTCAATCACTTGCTATGTATCTTAGAGATGGACAATGAAAAATGATAGTAGAAGAATTATTGCCTTTGCATTGTCATGTTGGAGAAGAATACTGACTACTTTACAAAAAGCACAGACAGTTATATCTGGGGGAAAGTACCTCCAGAGTGCTCCTGAGAAGCAAAGATGATGACACTCTGTCTCTCATACTTTGGGCACGTGGCTAGGAGAGGCTGTTCCTTCAAAAGGAATATCACACTTGGAAAGGTGGAGGGTCAATGAAAGAGAAGAGGACCCTCCCCCAATTAGATTAATTAACACAGTAACTGCAGCAATGAGCTCAAGTGTGTCAGAGATGAGGACAGTCCAGGATAGGATTGGGGTAAGGTCTGTCATTCTCAGGGTCTCTGCGCATCTTACTCAACTTGATGGCACCTAAAAACAACCATCACCTTCCATTAAAATGAATAGCTTCAGAAGTCAATAGGGGGTCACTATGAGTATGAACCAACCATGAGTTTTGGGTTCTATTGATTTCTTTTGCAGATTTCTCCTTGAAGTGTAAAGGAACCCAACTGATTTTTGTTCTTCTTTTTAAAGAAAATAACTGTCCCTTTGCAATACTACTTCTGCAGTCACAGTCTGGGAAAAGTCCTCCATTTCAGTGTCCTGGCACGACTAGCAAGTTAATAATGTTCACAAGGAATGAATATATTTTATTGAACCATCCAGGGAGGACAAGTAATCTTCTTGTAGTGTTGACCTGAAGTAAAATACCAATACTGCATTTGGAAATTGCTTATGTGGGCTAACAATAAACACACACATTTCTTTTATCCTGTCATTCTTCCCCAGGGCTAAATTTCACCAACTTTCTTAGTTGTGAGTAACCAAACGTGAGCTGTGAGCACCACGCTGACAGAATCCTGAACTCTGTGTGTAGGGCCTAACGAGTCAAATTGTACTTGATTGTCATAATTGTGTTTGAAACAATCCACAGAGAATTTGCTTTTCTTTCCCTCATGTCACCATCTCTTTGGTTTGATATTTTTGGGTTTTCCATCATTTTGAAACAGTCCTTGACCACTGCCAGTTTTTTGTACTCACTCTGGTTTTAAAGGTTTCCATTCCAATAACTGAACACCTGGATGTCATTGCCATGCTGACGGATGATGCTACGATTGCTGGCTGGAATAACGAAGGGCTGCCCAGCGACAGAATGTCCACAGAAAACGCCGCCATCCTGACACACTGCGAGCGCTGGCCCCTAATGATAGATCCACAGCAACAGGGAATTAAATGGATCAAGAATAAGTATGGAGCTGAGCTTAAAGTCACGCATATGGGCCAAAAAGGGTATGTGGAAGCTGAAAGATTGCCTTTCTATTTAGCTGCTTTGAAGTGGGTTTAATGTTTATAACATTTTGGATATCTAGTTAGACTTCTCTGCCACTTTAAATATAGCAAAACAGTACAACATGTTTATCCATAAGGTTCCTGAGTGATGAAAGTGAGTTGCGATTGGCTACTAACCTTAAATACGTGATCCTTCAAACCACCCAGTAGTACCATGCAAGAAAGACCTGGTGATCTGCTCCTGTAACGATTTCAGCCAAGAAAACCATATGTGACAATTCTGCTTTATAACCCATGAGATTACTGGGAACCTAACTCAGTGGGAATGAATTTGCATTTTGTTTTGTTGTGTTTTATCTGCTTGTGTTTCTTAAAACATATCCCTGCTGAATAAAAGCAGTTATGCTGGGTGGTATCCATTTAAATGAAGAACAAATTAGTTTGACATTTAGAACACTACATCCAAAAAGTAGAATACATCAATTTTCTAAGGGCAGAAAGGAACAGATGACATAGTAGATGCCTTCTGTGGAGTTCATGGGATGGTAACACAGGAATAGTCAGCAGTACTGATAGGTGTAATGATATTTATAGACATATTCCTAAATAAAGTCCTTTGCCTACAGCAGGCTCTTAAATGATATGGAGTCATACAGCATTGGATGCTTGAAGATAATGTAATTTCTTGTCAAATTTTACATGAAAACTGATTCTACTCTGAGACTTTCTCTCATCACAATCTAATAAATGGAAAGTGTCCTTGAATGTAGTTGGTGTTAAGGCAGCACTGAATAATTCTTTTAGACCTACTAAAATTTAGGGGACCTCTGGTGGCTTAGTGGTAAGAAATTGAGTTGCCAGTCCAAAGGTACATGATTCAAATTCCCTGCTGCTCCATGAAAGAAAGAGGGGGAATTTCCTCTTGTGCAATTTACTACCTCTGAAAACCTACTGGAGACTCGGCTATGTTGGTTCCAACTGTACAGGATACAATAACAACAATATTTCATTTTGCCTTTTAAAATTTTTTTTCACTTCTGAGATAAGGAATTTCTGTAGTTTTGCAGGGATAAATGTCGTCTTTGTCTACCTGACACTTGGAGAAAAAGAATTTGGGGGCAGGGAGGAACTAAAGAGGAAAGAAATGGGATAAAAAGAGTTTACCACTATCCTAAAAGTTGAAAAAACTAAGATTTAATGAAACTATAAAACACTTAATAGAATTTGAATTTTTAAATTAAAGGTAAAGGATGCATTGAAAAATTAAATTTGTGACCTTAGAGTTGACTACATTTATTTAAACTGTGATTATATTTAAAAATACATAATTTACACACATGGTCTTATTATTTCAATTTACTTGAACAATACAACTAAAATTTATCTCAAAATATCATCTTTAATATCTGTAATCTAGTTGAAGAAGAATATTATTTTATAAAGCAGTCTTTTTAAAAGTTAGTACATTCAATGTAAAATATTTATTATATGAAATATAATTTGACCATAAAAGTAACTGGGAGATATTCCTATACTTACTTAGATTTTCTTATTTCAATTCTGACTGCATTTAAGGTTTCTGAATGCCATTGAAACAGCCTTGGCCTTTGGAGACGTCGTTTTACTTGAAAACCTGGATGAGGTGATAGATCCTGTCCTTGATCCGTTGCTTGGCAGGAACACAATTAAAAAAGGAAAGTAAGTTTTTTTCTTTACTTTTTTTGGCTGATTTTTATCCTAAAATTGGGACTGTTTATAGAACAATCTATTAGACTATTCTTGGTGATATACCTGAGCTTTCCTTCTCTGCCATCTACATGTGAAAAATAAAGCAACCTCAAAATAACCCAGACTTTCTGGCCTTTTGGTGGATTTAGAGTAATTTTACTCAATTCTTAAGTGTCAGTCCAAAAATAGATGGTCATAAATGTACTGAGCATCTGTCTTTCACTCTTATAACAGAAATTTCCTAACTTCAGTAATTGGGAAAAAAACCCAACGCAACAGAACCCCCTCTATATTTTTGCATTATCTGCATATCACTTGTACTATTATTTACTTCATAGTTTTGAGTTGATTTAAATTTGACTTTTTTAATATCAATTTTATCTGAGTTAATAATATCCACAGAATCATGGATTTACTGTACAAGGTCTTTCCTAATGTATATTAAAAAATGGTCATTCAAATAAGGAGCTCATGGAGCACTGGTGGCCTACTGGCAAGAAGCTGTGCTGCAATCCCGAAGGTCGGTGGTTTGACTCCACCAGAAGCTCTGCTGGAGAAGGAGGAGAAAACTCCTCCTGTGCCAGTCGAACCCAATTCAACAGTACACCAAATTTAAAATAAATAAATAAATACATAGAGAGCTCATTAGTGGACCCCTGTAGCAATGTCTTACCACCAGTGAGAGACCACCAACAATGAGGGATAGTGTCCCCAAGTGAAATACATGTGACTTTCCAAATACTTGTCTGCCTCATGGGATGCCACACTTGCCAGAACATTCTCCCAGGGCATTCCAGCCATCCACATGGAATCATTTTGCCTCTCCCCCTGCCCCCAATGTGTGGGCAGTCATACACAACAATTAAGTCTCTAACCAAATCTGTAGGCTTTGGGGAGAGAGTGACATTCCAGAAGCTCTTCATGTCTCTTCACTCGAGAAACTGACATTTCCTAGGCATGTTGTTTCACTGGATTTTCTTCTATTGTTTTTGTTGTTTTTCTCCTCTGAGATAGCATTTCAAGACTTCCTCCATCACATCACTAGATTCACATCACTAGATTCTTCTCCCTGTCAACTTTGAGGGGAAACAGGCCTATTGTGGATGACCGCCTTCTGGTTTAGGGAGCTCTGGTGGAGTAGGTCATATAGTAAGGTGAGTCACTAACCTGAAGACTGTAACTCTGAGAGTCACTAACCAGAGACACTAAGGGAGAAGGAAGAGGTAGTCGCCTCCTATTATTATCTATAGCCTTGGAATCCCGAGGACTAGGCACCGTAAGTTAGACCCAACCTGATGCCAGTGAGGTTGTGGTGGTGTTCGGGGATTTTTATTTTTTTTAAATTATGTTTTAGATAGTCCCTGTCTTATTACAATTTATTATATACATCACCAAGTAAATCCATTTAGAGTTACTGACAACTTATAATTGTTTAATAAACCAAAAGTTACCCAGACATGCATTTAGAAACAATCTAATAAGCCATTTGACAAATGATAATTCTGAACATAAATATAATTGTAGCTGTATCTGGCCTGTTAAAAAATATAGCTTAATATCATCAGTGCCACAAAAATGAAATCCTTGCTATTAAGGTTCTGACCCTATTATGAAAACCTGAAATTTTTGTCAGTGGAAATGTGTATCCTATGATAAGTATTTGATATCATATGAAACAATTTAGTTATATTAGATCAGTCTCTAGTTCTTGATTTTCGATTTGAGAAGAGCTAAAATCTCCCGAACTTGATGAATTTGAGTCAGGAGATAGCCTCCGTTTTGATAAAGTTAAGTATCAGCACTGCAGGGGATTTTTATATTACAAATGGAGATGATCTTCCATAGAACATCAAGTTTTTATCAGAACGTATCAGGTCAAAAGATGAATTGCACTGGGAAAGTCAGCTGTCAGGGACCTCTCCAGAGTCCTGAAGAGCAGTGACATCAGTCTGGAGACTAAGGTGCACTTGATCCAGGCCATAGTCTTTGCAATAGCTTTCTATGCATCAGAGAGCTGGACAACGATTAGAGATGATAGATAATTGATGCATTTGAGCAGTGGTGCTGGAGAAAAGTATTGAATATACCATGGCTTGCCAGGAGAACAAAAAGATTTGTCCTAGAGAGGGTGAAACCAGGCTGCTCCAAGGAGGCAAGGATTCTGAGGTTTCATCTGACCTCCTTTAGGCATGTTGCAAGGAGGGACCCATCCTTGGAGAGGGACATTATGCTTGGAAGGCTGGAGAGACAGAGATGAAGACTATCGATGAGGTAGATTGATACAGTGACTGGGGTAATGAGACTAAGCATGTCAGAGACAGTAAAGTTGGAACAGAGTAGAGCAGGTTTCAGGGCTATTGTACATAGGATCACTATGAGTCGCAAGTGACGCGGCGGCATATAACATCAACATCAGGTCAGAACAGCTTACCAAAAATTAAAGCTATTTTCTGAATATGTACTCTTTATTGTGCTTTATAGAATGGATTCTATCATCCCAATATTTTTTGAAGGCTAAGAAAACACAAAATCATGTGTAAGAAAATAAATGGTGTTTATTGCGTGCAGTTATTTCAATTATGTCTCCCACATGCTTATGTGTAGAAACCAACCCTTATATGAGGATTGACTTCAGGTCTCTGTTTCTAATATTTGCTATGTGCCTCTTTCAGGCACATGTCTTTAGAACATGTTAGCCCAGAGAATATGGGATCTGGAAATGGAGGATTCCAAATGCAACAAGCTATTTGAAGTGTTACTAGGTACCGTCAACTATTTGGTTAAGTTAGTTCTAATGCTTAGCAAGCCTCCATTGGGTTTCTGAGGCTGTTGATTATGATGAGAAGAGACTGCTCTTCTTCCACCCATGCAATGGCTGGTGGCTTTGAATTACCAAAGATGCAGCCTTTTTATTAACAGTGCAGCAGTCTACAGACTATCCCTCCATAAGGTGCAGATCCTGCCTTTGAAGAGTCTGTACTTCCTCTGCAAACGACAGACTTAGGAACACTAAAGGCGTGCCAGAGGTATGCACAGCTGAGAGCTTTCCATTGTATAGTCTTGAAGAGGCTTTCTAGGGGGAGAATAACCATTTCCATTTACAGTTAATTATTGAAAGATAAGTAGACATTTGTCAGCTAGACAATTGGAGATGGAGACTCAGACAGAAATTACTCATAATACACAAAAAAGGCCAACAAATTTAGGAATCAGAAATAGAATCTAAATGGATGTAGAATCAGGGAGTGGGGAGAAAGGGAAGGCGGTGTGGACTGGGAGAGATGAGACGGCAAGGTTGCAGCCCAGAGTGTGGACGTTACTGTTTTCAATTACATCATTATTTCCCCCCCAAAAAACTCTAAAGATGCCATTCTCCTCAGTAACAGTAGCTTGCAACAGCAGTGATTTTTGACCAGATGACTGTCATCTTGGAGAATAGTCTGGAGTCTTCATCTTCTTACTTGAGAATCATAAAGACAAGTCAGTGTGGAAGCTTGTGAAGACTCTTACACATTCTGGGAGTGCTGCCATATTTACTCCTCTGAAAGATGGCATTGTGGGCAGTTAGAAGTAGCACCTGAAGGGATATGGGCTTGAGGCAGTAGTCATTACCAAACAGTGTCAGCAGCAGAGGTGAGCAGTGATATGAGCGTAAACTAACACAGCGACAGCAGAGATGGTGAGAGCACAAATAAGCTATCAAGTTGAAATCATCAGTTCATGATCACGGATTGGGTACTGTTGTTAGGAAGGAGGGGAAAAAGGATGGCTGGAATGGTTCCAAGGTTTCTGCCTCCTGAATTTGTTTAAATGATTTTGTCATTTATATGTGATATAGTAGGAGTAGTGAGAGAAAGAGACAATTCTTTACTAGCTGCTGGAAGACTGAGGTGCTTCTATAACAAGCATTCCCAAATGATTTGACTTAGAAGCATCTGGTATGTGACTATGGAGCTTCTCAATCATGTGAGTCTTGGCTGAACTTATAGACTGGAAATCATCTACACAGACAATTAAGCCATAATGTCAAATGTGATTGTTTAGGGAGACTATAGAGTCAGCAAGTTAGAGTCCTCTCGTTGCACAGATGAAAACAACTGAAACTAAAAGGGCCTACATAATGTCTTTTTGCATGCCCTGTCATGATATAAAAGGAGTGCTGGTAGTGCTGTAGTTAAGCATACAGCTCCTAATCACAAGGCTCAGGGTTCAAACACACCCTCTATTCTGTGGGAGAAAGATGTGACCATTGTATAAAGACACTGCCACAAAAAGTACTGCTTTGGAAACTCCCTTGGTGCCAGAAGTCAGGAAATCAGAAGACATACTGCACTGGAAAAGTCTGCAGTTAGGGTCCTCTCCAAATTATTTTGGAGGCATGATGTCAGTTTGAGGACTAAGGTATTTCTGATTCAGGCCACGGTCTTTCCAATCACATTTGAGAGCTAGACAATGAATAGGAGTGATAGAAAAATTATTGATGCCTTTCGGTTGTGGTATTGGAATAGAAGAGCACTGACCATCTCATGGACAGCTGGAAGAACAAACAAATGTGTCTTGGAAAGGGTTCAGCCAGAATCTTCTTTGGAGGCAAGGATGATGAAGCTTTGCTTCACATACTTCAGGCATATTGCTAGGAGGGGCTCTTCCTTGGAGAAGGACATGATGCTTGGAAGGGTAGAAGTAGTGAAGGAGAGTAAGGCCCTCGACCAGGTGGATCTGTTGACCATGTGACTGCCCCAGTGGGCTTTAATGTGCCAGGAAGTGTGAAGATGGCACAGGATAGGATAGGGTTTAGGTCAGCTGTTCATAGGGTTGTATGTACTTGATGGCACCTATCAACAGTATAGTGTCAGTACAAATCAACTAAATAGCAGTAGGTTTGGATTCTTTCTTTCTTTTTCCCATTTTTGTATGACTACATGGACTTGACTGTGTAGAAGTAGTTACTTAACCAACCTTTCCATATA